GTAGTTATTTCACGCATCGCGGTCAAACGATACTTAGTTTTAGTGCGTATTTGCGCGGTGCAGTTACATTCAAGTGCCCGTATACAGGGCGTATCTGCGAAATTTGACAGTTACGTCCTATGTTATTGCGTAGGAAATGATCAAGTCCCGCAAATACACCCCGTATACGAGACGACTTCAAATATACGCCCACTATGTTGCGATAGTGAGCGCGCAGGGTATCTCGGATCGGCGCGCGTTTCCGCGTGGGAGGGCGGATTGGATTTCGCGAAGGGCTTCCCGGCTATAGAACATCACGCGATTCTACGCTCTGCACATCGCAAGAGAACCGGCCAAACGCGATCGGAGACGACCACTATAATGTTACATTACTATATGCAGGTATACGCTTCCCGTCAGACTCGACGGTACCGATATTGTTTCAACGCCGAAAATGATAGCGAAAACCGTATTATAATACGACGTTTGCAGTAGATTATTATCGCGTAGGTGACCGAATAGCGAGCTCGGATTCAACAACAAACGCGTCCGGTACTTATGTATGCATAGCATATTGCGTATAGGCTAAGATTATAAAATAAAAACCCCAAATGGAAATAATAATAAACTAATTACATCTAATAAAAAAAAAAAAAAAACACGTTTGGATGAGAAAAAAATACCGCGGCCATTGTAATCTCGAAGTAAATAAAGATAAATGATTTTCAAAAAGAAAGTATAATATGCGCTATGTTAAATTACTACATAGTTAACATTTCGTATTTAATCAAATTTTATTATTATTGGTTTTGGCTTCACCTACCTACCTATTTTTAATGGCACCAATAAAAAATAAACACAATCGCTTTAAAGGGGAGAAAAAAATGTTTGAACTCACCGTTATGTTATCACTATGTTCACTATACATTTTAATATAAACTACACGCCATAACATATTTCACTTAATAATACTGTGCTCGCCAGCAAACGATAATAACATATGTTACCCTTGAAAATAAACACCAAACGTCAGTATCTGTATAATACGAGGTTTACGACCAAAGCGTGTATGAAGTTAACCGCCAAAAATATAACAACCTAATCGTCGTGTGTCGGGAGTTTCCAGGATAATAATACTATAACGTTATTGAATTACTCGCTGGATAATATTCTATGTATTTTATAGCCGAATCGCCCGGTTAGGTTTCAATCCTTTCAATAACACAATTCAATAAAAGAAATTCAATTCGTACGAGTCTTTCCGTTACCACTATAGTAGCTCTGTATCCCTGTTAATGGCTGTTGCCCGGTAATATTTATCTTTTAAAAGATTCCTCGTCAATCTCATCGGTTAAAACGTAATAGATGTTTTTTATCCGTGTCAACAAAGTGTTCACTCAGAAAAAAAAAAAAAATTAAAATACCGAAATCCTTGTGTTAGCGACACTTTAGATGTTGAATTTGGATACGAAAAGTAAATGGTGAAACTCCTCTTGTTTTAAATGTAAACTGGGCGAAATCGTCATCGAAATCGGAATAAAACTGCAGATCGATATAGCGAACAGACGTACAGTCGTAGGTGTACAAAACAAAATTTCAATATTATATAAGATTCCCATTTTACTCCAGAGTCGCGGCAAAAGACTAAGATCCGTTCTCGCCGAAATGAACGTTGATTTTTAAACGGTGATCATGAGATAACCGACCGATCGCGTTCGGTTATCAGCAGGTCCGGCATGTTGTTGTTGTTTTTTTTTTAATGAAACCCGATTCAAAAAAAAAATATCGTGTAAAATGCTCCTAGTATTCCGAGTCGTGAACAGTTTAAAATCATTGTACCGTACGCAAATTTTGAAAATTCGACTGTTTTATCGTTTTTTTTACCCGCAGCCAACTAAAGTTTAGGTTACACGTTCATATAAAGGTCTAACGGTACCCGCGACGATTCCGAACCGGAACATTTTCAATGATAATATGCGCCGCGCTCCGTCAGTCTCACGACGTCGTATATATCTATTTAGAAAATTTTGAACTTATACATCCACGGCGATATTATCTTACCGTAATATATCGCATCACATGATACGGTGTCATGTGACGCCAGAAAGGTTAAAAAACGGTACGACAAGTATATATATATATATATAAATTATTTTATCCGGTCTTTTTTTTTTCTTATACATATATTATGCACGCTCGTGTGTACCTCCACTTCATGGGCTATTTATTTTTATCGTGATTCACGAATCGACCATTTTCGCAGTCAATTTTTTCGTATTTATGATATTATTTCGTTTGAACTATAAATTCGTTGTAATTATAGTAGGTAAAAAAAACAAAAGAAAAAAAGAAAACAGAGATACTACGGTGTAACATTTTTTTATTTTTATTTTTTTTTTTTTTTTTTTTTTTCGTACAAATATGTTATATTATCATGTTGTAGTAGCACGATTCGAAAAAATGCACGGTGTCCACCGGAGAGAAACCGCGAGGACAAAATATTATGATCTACCGCACAACATATTATAGATATAGGTAGGTGTGGTCAGTTTTAACCGCGTGCGGAACAATTATCGCTCTAAGAATTTACACATTGACGTTGTTTTTCAGGTAACTCGTGGGCTTCAAATCCTAAAATATCAGAAATATACGAGTTTTCAGTTTTCAAACATTAATTTAAAGTAATACTAATACCTCATCCTGAGATCGATTTTCGACTTTTCGCGCGACGTTTCGATCTAGACAATAAATATCAATTAAATAAACCCGCGATTGTCGGTACAGTTCCCATAAACAATTCATCACGTCTAGTGTCCACCTATATTATACGTTTCTGATAGAAAACAAATTACAGAATCGCATATTAATAGCGGCAAATTATTAGAAATTAAATCGATAAGAAAGAAAATACCGTATACGACAATATACACTATGCTCTTTTGGCGCACGACTCGACAACTTGGATAACAAACGGTACGATGCACGATAATATTCGTCTTCCCTTTTAAAACAAGCGTTCACCGACAACGTTTCAAAGTCACCAAACTACGCGGAACGTGTTTGTTCTGAGCTAACGTCATCGCTCCCAGTCCAATGGCCTAAACAACGGCAACGGCTTGTAAGAAGATTTCATTTTTGATTTGTCACGTCCTAATATGTCCTATATGCAACGAGATGGACGGGATATCATTTCAAAATAAATAACGTTCATCGTCATATTCCTATAGTCACTTTAATATTTTCTATGGTTTCCGTTGCTATTAACGCATTCAAGGTTTTTTTATTTTACAAACGGACCAAAAAAAGTCGAATACGCAGAGCGTGGTAGCTCAAACTCAACACCAATGGGCTTTATGACGAGATACTGCAGGGCAAACCATTGTAAACATTCGTGTTCATTATTGGCATCGATAATATATTTTGTGTGTGTTTTAAAGATTTTAACGTAGTATTTTCACTGGAGACTTTTTAATTTATTTAACAACTTGATTTGATCTAGTTGGTTATAACTCGCTAGCCTTTGATTATCCGATAACGAGTCACCTATACAGAGTAATCGGGGCATGGACGGTTTGGAACCTTGGATTAATCTCGGTGTTGATGGGCATATAAGGTCGACAAGCAAACAAGAAAAAGGTTATCGGAATTTTTTTTATGTAAGGGCCCTTTTTAAAATTTACCGGTAGGCCAAAATTGGACTATCCATCCGTGAATTAGAGTATACCATCGGCTATAGGAAATAATAAGCGGTTTTGAAAATTATTTCCTGTAAAAGTATCTACGCGGCTCTGTATTCACGATACTAAAATCGTCAAAATACAAACGGTTTCCGTTATAATATGTCTTTTTTTTGTTTTATATTTACAGTTTCAATGCGTTGTCCATATTCCATCGGCGGGACATTACCCGTACGACTATATAAGTGCCACCTGTTCGTATAAGTATGCTATTGATAATATCGAAAATGACACCTGTCGACTCCTTGACTCACTCCGAAAAAAGTATCCGATTTTATCGTTCCGAATTGTACTTCTTTGTTGTGTACTCTAAACCCTACGAAGTACACTTTGGACAGTTTAAACACAGACGGCGCGACGGTGCGATGGTGCAGCGTTACACGCTGTAAAATTGTTTTATGCGTTAAGTGCCCGGTGTCGGGTTTTCTGCAAATTTTCTTAAATGTAACAAATGATTTCAAAACATTTTAACGACCGCGTATTCAAAAGTTAGGACTTGTCAACTAATCTATTGCGGGAAAAACATAAAGGGCGTACAATCGTCTCGGTTCTCGTCCTCTAATGACTTTCGGACGAGCGATGCTTGTCATCACCGTCGCCGCCGCCGCCGTCGCTATAAAATATCGTTTTTCGATAATACGACGCGGATATACGGGATGACGAATAACAATAAATACGTCGCGTAGGTATAATAATATTGCGGTACACTTATTTATAAAATATAATAATATAATGACGATTACTTCAAAAAAAAAAAAAAAAAAAAACCGTACGAAATTACGAAAATAATATTATTTTTAACGCGTCGGCCCGCGTTTCGCGTAAGTAATTACGTTATGAGTCGACGGAAAATTATAAAAAAAAATTTAACGAATAATATACTCGGACCGCGCGCAAAAAATAATTACAACGCGCGCGCAGTTATTATTATTATTACTTATTGGTTCTTTATTTTCATTCCCCCTCCCCCATGATCACGACGAGTCGGCGGGGGAAGTAAAAAAAAAAAAAAAAAACCGTACGAAATTACGAAAATAATATTATTTTTAACGCGTCGGCCCGCGCCTCGCTATACCAGCGCGCCCGGTCGGTTCTCCGTCCGCGGAGTGTGGGTATAAATATTAAATACTATAATATTGTGATACACACCAACAACAATAATAATATAACAGCGAAAAGTGATAATTTCCCGAGTGCCGGTACCTACCTATATTATATTATAATTGTGTACTACGCGATTTTTGTTTTTTTTTTTTTTTCGTATACTGTTATTTATAATAACGCTCGCGTTTATTAAAAATCGAAAAAATTTTAAACGTTTTGTAATATTATAGGTATTCTCGGTCAATAATTATTATCGGTATGTGTGTGCGTGCGTGCGTGCGTGCGTGTGTGTGTGTGTGTGTGTGTGTGTGTGCGCGCGCGCGTAACGGGTACGACGCGAGCGTTTCGGATTTGAAATTCGACCAGCGAATGCCTCCTCCGTTTATACCTGTACAACGCGTTGTCTATGGTCGCTATAGTAATATACACGCACCCGAACACACGAAATTATTATAATATTTTAGTCAGGGGTTTATTATTATAATGGTTTTTTATTATTATTATATTTCTGCTGTCGTCCGTCCGTTATTACTGTTATTATTGGACATAATAATATTATAAACGTGTAGGTATAATGGTAATAATATTATAGGTAGGTAGGTAGGTAACATATACGTATTATTATTTAAAAAAAAAAAAAAAAATCGATAAAATTGTTACCTATAGGTTCGTAAACGATTGTGTAAATGAATTTCCTATAACTTCGCGATCGTTGCGATGCGCGGCAATGTGGTCGTCGCGGATTTTCATTATTTTTTTTTTAATCCGCGGCCAATGCCATTTAGATTTAATTATTTATAGTGGGTAGGTATTAGGTACCTTATAATGTATATTGTAAAGGTAGTACATAATAACAACGTTTGAAAGAAATAATCAATCGCGTCCCGGACCCGCCGCGGACTTTTACTCGTGTACAGATATAATATAACGTGGGTATGCGTCGTTTCGATTACAGTTCGATGCTGGTATCATGATACAAAAAAAAAAAACAAAAAAAAACCGTCGTTTATCATCAGTTGTATATTTATACGCCAAAGTCGCGAAAAAGTATCGACCGATTTATTTTAACTGTAGTTTAATAGTTAAGTTTTCTAAAAGAAAAAAACGCCGACTTTGATTAACCTCCTCGTCCCTGTCCGTCACAGCTACCTTTTCAGTTGTTTGTAAGTGGTTCTTCTCATGTCTTCCACGATCTGTTTCATAATAAACGGAATTTTTCGTCTTCATCTTCCTGCCTTTTTTCTATCTTCCCGTTCATATTTGTTGTCAACCATTGTGTCTCGTTATGTGTCCGATCCGTATTTTACTCGTTTCCCTGTTTTCCATAATGTTTTCCGTTCGCTCATTCATACGTATACTTTTTCGTTTTTAACTTTCTCTGTCCAAGGAATTTTCAGCGTTCTTCTACAACGCCACGTTTCCGAAACTTCAATCATTTTTTATTTCCGCTTTGAGTATCGTCCATTTTTCTGTTCCACATAGCGAGTTATAATTTTTATAAAACTCTTAAACAGAGTTTTTCTAGGCTTTAGATTAACAGTGTTCGTCATGAATAGGTTTTTGTTCTTGTAGAAAACCTGTTTTGCGTATGTTATTCCGCTCTCAATGTCCGTCTCACTTTTTCCATCGTATGTTATTTAACTTCTCAAATACGTAAACCATATTGAACTGTTTCCAACTTTTCATTTTAAATTGCTATATATATTCGAACTCAATGTCCTGTTGCTACATACAAGTAGTTTGGTTGCGTTCCTATTAATTTTCATTTTGTATGCTCTTTAAATTCATAACCATCATTAATTTTTTTTTAGCATGTAGTTTGATTCATAAAAAGAAATTTTCTTAACAGTGGGAAAATTATTGTGTTGTAATAATTTTAATACATTACATATTATACTTTATATCTATTTAAATATCTATTATTTTAAATATACATGTGAGGTTAAAGTATTGTTTTGTTTCCAACAGTAAGTTAATCTCGAAAACCTATGAACATTTTTCAATTCACCGTTATGATATGATACGCAATTCTTGAGGAAAGTTTATGGGCATTTTATGTCTCCTTGTTATCACGGAATCGAACCCATATCTTTTGGTAACATAAATTAAAAAACAGTTATTCATCTCATTAAATTTAATCGCAAGTTAAATAATATGTTTTTTAGTATAATGTATCCCCCTTGGTGTCATATCCCCCCTTGACTTTCTCCCTCATATCGTATCCTCTCCATACGAAAACACTGAGCACGCCACTGACAGAAGGTACAAGTTAACGTTTTGAATCCACTTTCAAAATTATGTTACGTGATGCACTTTTTAAATTTTAAGTATTGAAAAAAAATTTTAAAACTTATAAAAAAAAATTAAAATAATAATTATTCAATGCCAAATATAAATTCTTCATAGAAATATTTAAAATAAAATACCAAGTGATTTCTATAGAAGTATTTAAAATACGTATTCGAATACTGAAAATAAATTCAAATATTTGTATACAAATATTTTTACTCAAATACTTTACAATTTTTTTTTTTTAGTATACAATGAATTCTGCATTGAAAGAATATTATAATATATACTCCGTATGACTATACAGCTTACTCGTAAATGTTTCGGATTTTTTTTTTCATAACAAAACGTATTCCAACGGACACCAAATCCCGATGTGTAGTTGCAATAATATTATGTTTTTTTACAAAAAGACTGTTGTCGGATTAAAAAAAAAAATCGATCGTTACATAACATTTTCGCGGACAGCAATACCGAAATTCGTAAACCTACTTTTGCAAAGTCATTTACTCGAACGGTACTTGTATTTTTTTATTCTTTGGTAGGTAGTAGTGTAACATGTGTACAACGTGTTTATGTTATAATAAAAGGACATAAATCGAGCGAGGACCAAAAAAAAATATATTATTTTACCGTATATTACGTGAATTGACCGATACGATTGTCGGATTTTTTTTTTTGTTTCGTTTCCAAAAATGTATTACATGGGTTGTTAACAAGTATGCACGTACGACAACAAAAAAATTTCGTTTGAATCAATTATTTTAAACGTATTTAAACGTTTGCTTTTCTCTGTGGTCGATACATTTTCATACGGGTAATTGTCCGTATTTTTTCACCTTTGTCTCCGGTTGAAATTCCGGGAGTCGGTCATTTGACCACGATTTCGATTACCCGTTTAAGCGCTAAAAAATAGTTGCAATCTACGTGGAATTTGCGTATGTACCCTTATACCGTATAAATACCTTACAAAAATGTAGGGCTAGGCATAGGATATGTACAGGGCTCCGGTTTAAATTAAATTTAGGAATAGGTATATTAGTATTATTTTTTAATGTAAATATATATATATATCGACTACGTAATACTAAAATTAATATTTATTGTTAATATTAGTTATACGAGTATAACGAGTTATATTGTTGGTGGACGCACTTAAAAAAAAAAATCACGTGCGAAAATCGTAATTGCGTACATTTTCATTGTTTTTCTCAATTACAATGAAAACTGCAAGGGAAATTGAAAAACTATCCAGACGAAATTGACTACATCAAAAACCAAGAGGGAAACGAAAGTGGTCTTTGAGCTCTTTTTTGATGTATAGGGGAGGGTGGATACTCGATGTGAAAATTACTAAACACGAATTACTTACTCGTTAACTTTTATATTTTAGTAAAAATAGGTGAAAATATTGGTGTGTGGGTAATGACAATAGATTGGATATTTTAAGTTCGTTTCGATATTGCCGAAAACCACATCTTTAGAGGTGTTTATTGGAGATAGATTTCTGACGACAGAATGTGAGTATAGGACACGCAGATTTTATCCGTAACAATGTATATTGACCACGCAAAAAGATTAATCAATTTATTCCGTGCAAGTTTCCTACCCTACATATACCAATAGCAAATACATTCATAATAGAATTTTTTTTTTTTTTTTTTTCAACGGTTGTAACCAAACATTATTAGAGTTTTGGCTAAAGCAACTTGACGTGCGTCATGAATGGCATGACAATAATATACTCCAACCGGAATCAGGTTTTTGTACATTGCATGGGGGCACCCTTCCCCGTTCAATCATTCGTACATAATCGAGTATCATCATATTATACTTATACGAGTATTATGATATGCGTTATATTTATTTTATTCGCGATGTTCATTACCTGATATGTATCTACCTAAACGTGTGTCTTTCTTGCGTGTATACAATATATTATTCGCGTATGTCTGTATAACTGTTGAAATTCCGCGAAATTTATTTACTTGCATGTGAATTGTTACATTCGTCTATATTAAGGTTTCGTCGGCGATAATAATCGGGAGAAGGAAAAATTGTTTTATCTCGCTCGGGACAACGTGTTTTTGTACAGAGATCGAATAATGTTTCCCGTGTACACCGCCGATCACTCGTAATATTTTTGCATATAATTGCAGTTTTTCGTGTACTTATAATGTGCGTAGCATAGTGCACAGGCAGGCAGTCGAACCGCTCGCGCCAGACTCGGTTAACAATATTATTTCGATTTTTAAAAACCGATAACCGATATGTGTGTTATTATTAGTATTATACGGCGGCGTAATAATACGATTCACGAATTTTCACGATTTTTATTTTAACCTGTACGTTTTCGTCCGCGCGGAGAACGTTCGCTCGCGTGCATACTCCGCTGGTGAACCGATTCTGTAATTACTATTATGCCGTCTTAGCGGGCCCGCTAAAACAGTGTGCACACGTATATATGTATAGGTCCGAGGTATAACATTATTAGTTTTGCGTTAAATTACTTTCGTGATATTATTGTAGAAAAAAAAATAAAAATAAAAACCGCAGCAGCAGCTGACGGATATTATTCGTCTGCGCGCGTAACGGTATTAAACCGTATAAAAATGCTTGGGTAGCCGCCTGCGTCATCGCCGTCGATGATCACCGCGCGGATAGATACCCGTGCAGGTCCCGATACACTGATACGGAAACGCGATAGTAATTATTATAATTTATTAATTTTTATATTAGAGTTGGTCACGCCGCCGTCCCCGTAATAATGTGCCTAATGAAATTCCTACGCCGTTATGGCCGCGCGCACGTACCGAAATTCTCACGGGTTCGGAGGCGGCGAAATAGAACTGCAGTAATCAATGGAGGAGGACGATGGGTGGATGGATGGAGGGGGGGGGGGGTATTTGGTTCGAATAGACTTTATTTCCGACGGTTCGGAACATTTCGCGGATACGATGCAAATAAGGAACAGCGAGTGATACAATTGTTATGAGTGCCAGGGTTCGGCGGACGCGTATGCAATTAAAATAATTGTAATACGTATGCATTAATCCACTAAAAAATTACACAACATGTATT